TCAATGTTGAAAATTGCTTTAGGCATTGTAACGAAAGTTGAGACTGAACGACCAGCTACATGGCACCGACCATTACCTCTTATAGTCGACTTCATGTGTCGAACTGACATAGTTATNAGTAAAGGGAGCCTNGTGTATTGTGTTACNGAGGTTAAGAANTATCCTCTATTGCCTGNCTATAATGGCAAGCCANTAGACGNANTAAGAAGCCTTTTTTCNGATCANAAGGAAATCATGAAACANCTAATNTGCGAGATNCTTTATTTCAAGACTGACANGGGGATTCTTACAGACTCGNATGTCGTTGTGTTTGTGGAAATAGACCTTGATTCTTTCGAAAGGAACGTTCACAACCTGAGACCAGTGAATATGGGCAACGAATCAAAAAAAATAGTTCCAATCAAGTATCTGATTCGAAACTGCCANTCNGCTAAACCCACNTTGCGAGAATCACTATTGGCGTACATCTATAAATCAGTAGANGAAGATNCGAAAATGGTAATCAAACAAGAAAGGGTTCGCAGATTGGAAGAACATCTAAAGCTACCTGGAGAAGCATTNACGGANGCTATCTTGAGTGACGAAAGCCTGAATNTNTCGGAGGNTTCTGGNAGTCGCCCCAGCACAAGAGGTACGAACATATCCGTGTTAGAATCTATTAATGAGGGAACCGAACAAGAGAAAGAAGCAGAAGCAGANGCAGAAGCAGATGAAATGTCTATCGATGTGCCTAAGAACAGTAACTACGTGTTAATGCAAAATTCAGATGTATTTAACGCACAATTAGTTAAACTANAGNCTATATGCTTCAAGNNATTCTTGCTAGAACTGATCGATGACAACGCAACTCTAGTTGCAAAGGTGTATGACCCGCGCATGGTTAACATATATGAATTTAAAGGTTATCCTTTTGANGAAAAGAAAGACGTGTGTTATGAATGGTGCCGCACTGAAAGNGTTTGTTATTCAATCTTGTCCAAAGACCCTGAGTTCAATAGTTGCTATGTTCGTCAAAAGACGGGNCANATCATGATTACCATGGACAAACTGTATGTTGCGAAAGGNCACTTCAACCTTTTTCGATACATCGAGAAAGNCNCNTTACCGAAGNACCNGGAAACATATGAGAANGCNANGAAACAANTNGAGGTGATTCACCGGAACGGGATTGTGCACAGGGATATCAGAGAAGACAATATTCTCTGTACAAAAGAAGGGCAAGTATACATCATTGATTTTGCACTTTCTAAGCCCAA